ACGGGTCTCTAGCCAACGATCCGCTGAAGGATGGACTCGACCACCTCGTCACGTGCTCGGTCGAAATATACCGCGGATACAGCTGTGCCAACCTTTCGAGGCGAAAGTTTCGATCCCTTTGATACAAGTCCATTGCGTCGTGAATTTCATCTGCAACATTGTCCTCTACCAAATTGTTTGCCTCGTTGGCATTGTCGTCATCGAATACGGTACTATCATCGTCGTCATATCCAATGCTGGTGGTGGTGGTGCTCCTGCTGTTGTTCCTGTCGCCATTAGTTTCTTCGTTTTGGCTTTCGGCCGTTTCGTTTCGTGTCAGCAAAGGTGTGCGTATCTTGTCAGCAGGACAAGCACTAGACACGCAACCGACATCGGCACGGCACACCGGGCACTTTGTCACGTCCCCTCTTCCCGATGCCACCCACTCTTCGTAACAGGTTTTGTCAAAGACGTGACCACATCGCAGCAACTGGATAGGGCGACCATCGGATCCAATGTGCTCCGATCGAAAATCCTCGAGGCAAATCGGGCAGCTCGTTGCCGGGCRGTAGGTTCCCCGCAACGCCTCGGCTCGAGCCCGATCGATTTCCGACAACCTAGTTGCAGCCGCGGCGTAGTCTCGCTGGTCTCGGCGTGTTTTCCACCTATTCAGTGCCCCCCATCCAAACACAAAGAATGCCCATGTCAGGACAATCGCGTTCTTGCTTATCCAATCAAATACGCATTCGAAGACCGAGGGCTCTTCCCCTTTCTCGAGGACTTCTGCGATCGCATCGATGCCGTGCATCAATCCCTTTTCGTATTCGGCCCGTTTCAGATCTGGTCTCATCTCGTTGCGAATGATCCGATCGATTCGACCGTTTGTCAAAATATGCCTTAGTGCRCCACCGGTGGATACAAAAACAACGCGRTCGCGAACACTGAGGAATACAAGGACACCGGTGCCACCACCGCCGCCATTGTTCTCTCCACCATCGTTTGTGTCGGGTATTTCGTAACCGATGCCCCATCTGTCGTGTAGGCTCATTGCAGATTCTCTCGCATATTTCTCAACCAAGGTATCATACTCGTCGTCGTCAAGATTTCTCGGAATGCCAAGTTCTTCCACTATGGCAACCGCGATTTGGACGGGAAATCCATCGACGTCGCAATCTGRATCGCTTTGACCTTTGACGCTCGCGTCTTTACCGGTGTTTTGACACCCTGTCGACGTMATTTGTCCCGTTCTTGACACGACGAAGCGGGACGAGTAGAAAAGGAGTTTTTCTGCGATGTTGTGCTTTGCTTCTCGGGTTAGGATCGCGCTTGGATCACTGACGCCATCGTTCGGTGGCGGAATGCTCTGGAGTCTTTCCCGAATATTCTGCTGCACGGGAGAYAAGTGAGTCTTGCTCCCCGTATCAGCCAGTGTTCCCCTTGCCCTCGGTAGCAGCAACAACAATGTAGTGAAAGTGTGAAGTATTACCTTCTTCATCGTGCTTGTGGAAATAAAATTTGCTTTGTCGACTGTTTGTTGATCTTGTATTTCGGAAAAAGTATTTAAATTATGTCGCTWGTGGTTCAAAATCTGCAACACAAGCATCGTCTAGAATCTCGAGTGTTGAATGGTCGCACCAGTACGTGACGTGACACCCCAGTACGAACCGTACCGTACCGTGCAGTAGCATACGACACGGAAAGAATACTAGAAGTCGATGGACACGACTCAAAACTTTTTTGTGGACTCGACATTTTAAATCTTGGATGCTTACAGTACTGTATTACGGTACGTTCGTACGGTRCTAGCACTTGTACCGTACACCGTACCTGCAATGTTTCAAATTCGAATTCCGTACGGGTTTCCTAGTGTGAAATAGTGACACTCCTTAGTAGTGCATCTACTCGTGATTTAGGCTCACATCTAGTAGTACAAGTACAAAGTTTTCTAGTTTTCTACTGCATAGGTAAAGCATTCTTTGGGCATCATAACGTGTCGAAAGGTTGAAAGGACTGATACAGTATTGATTAAAGTGCAGCAGCGTTTGTGCGCTTGTTGAACGGAACCGATCAATTTACAAACTTGATTTGCTTCAAAGCTTGTTTCGATCAAATCATTTTTGATCGCATCTTTTCAAAAATGACTTGAGGCATGGGCGCAAAACCGAGCACAACGAAAACGAAAATCCTGTTGTTACAATAGTTGAAAATTACCAAGTTAGTAGTATTCTTCTAGTACARTACTTTAAGAAAGAAGTTGCGAGCCTCTCTRCAGCACGGTAATATAGGATCTAGTAGTTGGCGACTGACWCAACGGCACGTATAGTTTTTCWCCTCGCTGGTTGTACCGTGTGGTGCAGTGTGCTGTTCTGTTGCATTCGTTCACGCCAGCGGCACCGCCGCCCCCAGGAGATTGAAATTCCGGCAGCTCCCAAAGTTCTCCACCACCGATACGCCGCAGAGCGTCCCACAGACCTCTACCACGATCGTTGCGTCCGGCTTGCCGAGGTCGACCCTGCAGTCCGGAAAGAGCTTCTGCATGAGGTCGCCAACGATTTGGATGGACCCCTTGCGGTCCAGGCCGCTGCAGTTCCGTCTCTTGAAGCGAATGGCAAAGGTCTTGGTGCGCTTCGGCGAGACGTACTTTTTMAGCACCTCCTCGCARGTCAGCCCGAGCTCCTCGGGGGACGCAAAGCACGTGGCCTGGATGGGGATCATCCTCGTCACGAACCTCGAGCTCGGGGCCGCCTTGTTGGAATCCCCGGCGTCGATGTCGGACATGATYGCTCTGACGGCCGCGATGGGATCCCAGGGGGGAGGATCGGAGGGAGGACGGCCCGGCGGGCCGCCCCCGGCGTCCGCTGCTTCGGAAGCCTCTGGGCTGGCCGCGGGTTCGGGGTGGTCCGCACCGTCGTCTGACTTGGGCTCTGCTTTTTTCTCCGCGCGGTTGGATTCGGGAACCTCCGGTCCGTTGCTGTTCTTGTTGCTGTTGCTGTTGTCGTCGTCGTTGTTCCCGCTGTTGCTGCCGCTGCCTTTGTTCTGTTTCTGCTTCGATCGCATGTACTCGGTCTGGATGGCCGGTATCAGGCTGCACTTTGGAAGGGTGCAGAGCACAAAGACGGTCCCCCGGCAATTTGTTTCGTACTCCCCGAACGCGGACGACGCGTCCGRGGACCCCTTTTTCGATTTCAGGAGGCTCAGTTCTTCCTCCAGGCTCAGCGGTTGGTCGCGATCGTCGTCATCGTCGTCGTTTTCGCTTTCGCCTTCGCCGGCGTTGCCACTACCACCCGCCCCCGGGGAAGCCGAGCGGTGGTAGTGGTTGAGGATCTCGAGGCCCTCCCGCTTGCACTTTTGTTCCCGGCCGGTCTCGCAGGTGAGCAGGACGCCCGGATTCCCCCGCCTCGGGCGGGTCAGGAGGCCCCATTTTCGTTTGTGGCCTCCYCCCCCGCCCCCGCGGTCGAAGTACTTTCGCTTCTTGGACGCGGTGGTGCTCATCGATCGATCCGTCCGCGGTTTCGTGTGGCCGCCTGTTGCTTTCTTTCTGTAACGTGCTGTGCTGTGCTGTGCTGTGCTGTGCTGTGCTGTGTCGTGCCAGATCGTGTGCACAGGACGGAACGAAGCACCGAACCGGACTGCGGGGATGGCGAGTGTCGTGCAATGGACTTTGGCACGGTGGCGTGGTGCACAAGTATGGGACCGAGGACGATGCGAATCCTTCGTGTCTGCTAGTCAAGCACAGAGGCCAGGTCGGGCAACGAAAGGTTGTTTCCTGTGAAGTGCTTCCTTGATGGATTGCAATACGGTACAATAACAAAAGATTTCACTGGTTGCCGCAGTGGGTACAGTACGAGTAGTACGGTTCGGTACTTGTCCCTAACTGTAGGGTACGTACATACGATACTGTAGTGTACCGTCCGGTACCAGTTAGCAGGTACCGTACGTACCACCGCAAAACAAGAGCATAGTAGCGGGAGGCCTCCTTTTGGATCTTGGCGGCGGTCAGACACYATCCACGTTTGGATGTAATGTGTAGTACTGTGCACGTTTGAGAAGTGTGCCACCGATCGAAATTTCGGTTTGTGTGTGTGAGCGCTCTTGAACACGAGTTGTCATCCCCTCCGCATCGCCTCGCATCTCGCATGCGGTTCCAATGCTTTTCCCAATGTGCGGTACGAGTACCGTACGGTACGTACCCGTACCAAAGCGGACCCTCACGCTCGGACAGTCCTTCATACCCCTGACTTCATACTCGTTTTCATGCCGCCCATTTCGCTRGGACAACTCCATCGAAACACTCGATAGCAACCATCGTCTTGGTKCAAATCGGAAGAGTTGCATCTTATCAACGGCATCGGAAAGGCTGCTCTCGTCGGTTTGCCTGCTGCAAKTCTCTGGCGAACAGCGACACCACCACCTGCCAATGAAGGGCTTGCCGGGGGCCGCCCACCCGACCGCCAAGGCCTTCTTCGATGCCCTGGATCGATACAACCAGGAGCGGCACGAGCCGGGAGCCGGAGCGGGGCACGAGGAAGCCGGCGGGCCGGGGCCCTCCGTGAGCGAATCGCTGAGACGRAAAACGCAGCAGCTGGGCTGGCGGAACCGGCACTCGCAGAACGAGCACTACCCGATCACCGTGCTGCAGCGAACGCCAACGCCGGGGCAAACCAAAACCAAAAACGGCGGGAASGACSACCGCGGCGGTGCCGACCGAAACCAGAACCGGGACAAAGACGGCGAACCTCAATCCCAACCCCTGCATCGGCTCCGATCCCGGAGCTTTTCGGTGCGGCAGGTCCAGAGGGGAGAAGTCGAGGGAACCTACGGAACCGGGGCGACGGTGTGGCCCGCGGCGCTGGTCCTGGTCAAGTACCTCGAGCGCGTGGCCAACCACGGCGGCGGCGACACCGACCCCTGCGACGTGCGCGGAAAGCACGTCCTGGACCTCGGAGCCGGGACGGGCGTGACGAGCATCGCGGCCGCGCTCCTGGGAGCGGCCTCGGTGGTCTGCACCGACGGAGAGGAATCGGTGGTCCGGCTGGCCAGGGACAACGTCCGGGCGGCGGGCCGCGAACTGGCGCGGTCCGCCACGGGGAGGGACAGCGGCGAGAACGAGATCGCGATCGCAATCGAGAACGAGATCGACCAGAGCGGCGAGAGCGATGCACCCGTAGGGAGTGTTCCGGTCATCGACGGATGCCCCATTCGAACGCAGAGGTATTGGTGGGGGGAGGGGACCTCCCCCCGTCTCGTGGGGTGTCTGGAAGACAAAGACCAAGACCAAGACGAGCCACCCGGCGGCGAGGAACGCAGCAAGAGCACCGATTCCGATCCCGACGAGGAAAAGGTCCGAACCCGCGCGAGCAGCAACGGGCTCCTCCTCCTGGTGGCCGACTGCGTCCTGCCCAAGCTGTACCCCATCGCCCCCCTGGTCCAGGCCATCGACGAATGCCTCGGGCTGCACGAGGACTCCCGCTCTGGCGGCGAGGAAGCGGCGCCGGCCGCGGCGCTGCTSTCCTACGAGCACCGGTACTACCCCGACTACGATCCGGGGACCGAGTTCCGGAGGCTGGCGGCCGAGCGGTGCCTGGACGTGGCAACCGTGCCGAGGGAACGGATGGACCCCGTCTACTCGCTCGACGACGTGGAGCTCTGGGTGGTCCGGCGGCGTCGGCAACGGCCCGCTCCGTGAGCCCGGGGGGGCGAGGCAGAATTGGCACCGCCGCGAAACCGGATCGCAACGCAACGCATTGCGTCGCATCGCATCGCATCGCATCGCATCGCATCGCATCGCATCCGATCTCCAACCGCACCCGGACCCAGCGACAAGGACAGGTGCAGCACCACTGCTACGGCTACGAATTGCTGTCGCGCTTCCACCACGGCCTGCCAGCACCACACCACCATGTATTGATTTAAACTGCTACTGTATTGCCACTTAGTTCGCTTTGTATCGTATCGTATTGTACCATATTGTAGCTTTTGGTTGRTCTTTGCGTTTGGATGGTGATCTCGTCTAGCTTTCTAGCTAGCTCCAACTCAAGCGTACCAATTTGTGCCAGGACGATGGCACGAGGGTATGTAGTASGTGTCTACGTACTTTGATACTTTATATGCATATGGATATGGATWCCATAGCATGGCGTACGTGTTTTCTCTACTGRGGGAACCACGAACCAAATCRTGTGCCTGATGATGGTGCGTCTGTATYGGTACGTACGATACTTTACCTTGTACATGTACGAACCCCACGGCATTTTAAAATTTCAAAAGTTACGGCAACTGAGAAAAAGAGGCCTTTCGAAAGTCGGCGCAAGGCAACCAAGCATCGTTCCTTTGGGTCATCAAGAGCGATCAAGAACCAGCAAAACACTACCATCCACAAAGAATGGCTCGGGACCAACCAACCGAGGGAGAGGAGACCCCCACGCCCTGCCTCGACCGCGGWGAGGCCACTGCCAATGACGGCGAGAACGACAATGTCACCACGCAAGACGATGGCAGCGGCAACGAGAACAGCAACACCAACGGCGACAGCAACGACGACAGCAACGATAAAAACAACAACAACGACGACAACAACAACGACGACGCTGCGGACGGTGCACGTTCCGACGAACCGGAGTGCGACGAGGAAGGCCTCCGGCTGGAATACGACGTGGTCCTCTACGGGACGGGACTGGTGCAGTCGATCCTGGCAAGCGCCCTGTCCCGGGCCGGAAAGTCCGTCCTGCACTGCGACGGAGCGGACCACTACGGGGGGCTGGACGCCGTCTGGACCCTCCCCGAGGTGGAGGCCCTGATCCGCGGGGAGGGCTCTGGCGGCACCGGTGTGGACGGCGTCAGCGGCAGCGAGCGGGGAACGGGGGAATCCCCGGAGGGCCTCCTGTCGCTGGTTCCGGGGGGACCCGGATCGCTCTCGTGGGACCGCTCGCACTGCTCGTCGACCTCCGGGAAGCGGTTCCACGGGATCCGAACCGGGACGCGCGTCGCGACGCCCTTTGGCGAGGGCACCGTCCGARCGATTCGGTGGCGCCGGGACGACGAAACAAGCGACGGCAACGAAACGAACACAAAGACAAAGACAACTAACACGGCAGCCGTGGAAATCGAGATGGGCAATTGGAARCTGGCAAACGACMAGTCTCCGGTGGTATACGTCAACRCCGTCCTTCCGGAACGCGCCGAARGCACCGAAGCAGCGGATCCGAACCGGGATTGCGTCGACCCCTTCCTCCTGGAAGACGTCTTGTCCCGGACCAGGGACATCCGGTCCGTGCAATCGGTGGAAGCGGAGGCAATTCTGCGAGATGCCCCGCGAACGCTGGCTCTGGATGCCAGCCCGGCTTTTGTCCTGGCCAGCGGGCGGGCCGTAGAAGGCATGCTCCAGAGCGGGGTTGCGGATTACCTCGAGTTCAAAACCGTGAACGGCTTGTACTGGCTGGAGCACGCCGCGGCAAAGGATGCGGGMAAGCGGCGGARCAGGACCAAGACGACCGACACGAACAAGGACAAGGACGACAAGAAAACCGCTRTCGGCGACGAACCCATGGTCCTCTCCCGCGTCCCCTGCAGCAAGAACGACATTTTTGCCACAAAATTGCTGGCCCCGATGGAGAAGCGCCGGTTCATGAAGTTCATTCAGCTGTGCATGGACTACGCGACAAAGATGACCGTAGCGGAAGTACTCGAGCAGAACGACGACGACGACAACGAAGAAGAGGTCCAGTCCCTCAACGAGCGCCACCTCAACCAGGGACGCTCCCTGGCCCGACCACAGAACAAGGCGGTGGACGCGACCGAGCTGCAAACCCTGAGGGAGGCCATCKACAACGAATCGGTGTCCTTTGACGACTTTTTGGCGAAGCACCACAAGCTCTCGCCAAAGCTGCGGTCCATYGTCCGGTACGCCCTGGCATGGGAGACGACCGCCTCCAGCACGAGCCTCGAGGGGGGCATGGGGGCACTGCGGAAACACCTGCAGGCCCTCGGACGGTACGGAACCACGGCCTTTTTGGTTCCCCTCTACGGGACAGGAGAGCTCTCGCAGGCCTTTTGCCGGTCKGCTGCCGTCTTTGGTGCCACGTACCTYCTGCGGCGGGACGTCCTGGCCGTTCGGGTCGAAACCGCCGMCGACGASACCGCGAGCGAACCCGCGAAGCACGTGGAGGGAATCGTCTTGTCCACCGACCAGTGCCYGGCAGACGGAAACGACACCGGAGAAGACCCGCAGCACCAGCCACAGAACCCCRGGACCAAGACCGTCAAGTGCTCGCAGGTAGTGGTGCCGATCAACGCGATGGATCGAGGTTTCTTTCGGCAAAACGGTGGGGAGACAACCACCGATCGCCCGCAAAAGCGAATCGCGAGGCGAATCAGCGTGCTGAAGGGCAGCGTCGTCCCATCCGAGGACGGAGAACAGCGCCACGTGGTGTTCGTTCCCCCAGACACGGTCGGCAACGATCATGYCATCCACGGCGTGGTGCTGGACAGCTCCGCGCACGTTGCCCCCCGGGGATACACCCTCCTCCACCTCACCACCACCGTGGAAGACGGAACCGCTGACACCGGATCCGCTGCCGCCGTTCTCGAGCGCGCCCAGGCCGCGGTCCTCCGCTCGAAGCCCCCCACGGCAACGGGTGCCGGGTCACCGGGAGAGCCCCCGGTCGAGGTCTATCACGTGTCGTTCAACCATCCCTGCCGAGATCCCGAAACCGCCGGGAGGGACCGCCTCCCGAGCGGCCTCCACCTCTGCAGCCACTCGGGCCAGGCACTGACCGCAGACGCTGCCTTTGAGCAGGCGGAAGCCATTTTTTCTTCCATCTGTCCCGGCGCCCGGTTCCTCGGCTTGTCCAGTTCGATCGACGAGGTCATCCGCGAGCGTGCCGAGGAAAAGTACTACGACGACGAGGAAAAGACCGCTCTCGAAAGCGCGGTTGGGATGATCGGAGACGCCTCTGCCGATGCCAATGGCAGCACTGCCGGCACACCCTGACGAGAGCAATGCTAGTATGCATCGAACACGAGCAATGCAACACCCCTCCACGGTGCACGCAGCCGCGCCGGCCTTTGCTGCTTTGCATCGGCTGCACGCCGTTTTACCGACAAATTCCGTCCTTTGGTTCGGCATAGGCCGATTGCATTGTGTTTCCTTGATAAGGTCGATCAGTCGACTTGAGATAGTACTTCCATAACGCCCATTAAGGTTCTTGTAGTACAGTATTTGCATAGGTACCCTACGGCAGGGGTCTACGGTATGTGATATGTGATTCAAATCGTTGGCTTCTTAGATTGGGTCTAGTAGGTACATTACGTACGTATGACTCGTTTCTCGTACTAGCACGTACGTACGTACCGTATGGTACGGTAGTAACTCGTGTCGTAACGGCATGATAATCTCAAGAAATGGAGAAAACAATTCTAATGTTACTACGGTATCCCTCTTCTTTTTTGTGATGTCACGCAGTCGTGCGGAAAAGAAATTCATTAAGATTCTATCTTCCGATTTCTGCAACCAATGAACTTTCGAGAAACAACTCTAAAAATAGAAGAAGTCAATACGATATGGCTTGTGGTCGATTTACTTATTCGTAATGCGGCAACGTGTCCAACACAGACCCCAGTCGCAAAATGACCCGCGACTGCCATCATAAAATACCCTTCTTTGATTGCGAACAAAGCAAGAAGACAATAGAACACTGCGAAGCCAGCAACAACWTCGGCAGCGAAGACAGCGACACAGAATTATCTAGCARTAACAACGATAACACGCAGATTCAATAAAACTAGCTTTCGTACATMAGGTTATGGCAACTTTCGGAGATTCGTTCCTCGAAATGGCCGAAGCAATGCTAGGAAAATACCCCGGGTCAAGGTCTTCGTCCGCCGAAGTTCTGRCGACTCCAAGAGAACGCAAGAGAGATAGTTCTTCGGCGTCGGAGAACCATTTTCTGGGTGACAAAGCCAAAGAAGCTCCGAGTGAGACCTGTCCAAACGACAGGCGTGATGGGATTTCCGATGAAAAGAGAGAGAAGCGAAGCGTTGTGATTCAAATACCTCCCAAACGACRAAGAATGTTTGGCAATTATTCCGTGGAAGATATCATACAATCATTGAACCGTGCTATGTCCAAGGTAAGCATAGTCGCAGCCGCATCTTTCTGTTCTCAATKTTCCTCTGGCAGTTCGTTTGTACAAKCGGCCCGTGCATCTTCCTCACAATGGTGTGTGTTTCGCTCGTGTGGCAGGACGAAAGAACTGAAGCTCTGGAAAACTCTATCATCACCTTTGACCATAACAATCGGGATCTCCACGACACAGAGATCGAGGCAGGTGCYGATATTGCACTCGTCAAACACCTAGTGTTCCTCGAATTCAAAATCGGTTTTCGTAGAGATCCGACCAGTTTTGATATGGAAGAAATTACTCAAGAGATCGGATCAGTTCTTAAGTCTCTAGAATGCGTRTATAGGTAAGCTTTGAAACGAGGAGAATTTGTTGCGGATATCGAGTCACTTGTGCGATGTTGCTCATACTTGCCGTTCCCACTGTGCTCTCTTCTTTTGATACCTCGTTTGCTTCTCAAAGGGCATCATCCAATGCGGTTGGGAAGTCGTTCAAGAGAGTGGGCATGGATTTACTCCAGATTCTCGTTACGCTGATAAATTACGAAATCAAGAACAAGCTCGATTCATCCCCTTCCTCGTCTGTTCCATCCTCCCCCCAAGGTATCAATGATAGCCCTCCAACTGTAACTAGCAGCACAGCGATAACCGTGGAAAACCGATCCGTTACACCTCCTCATCAGGGGTCACACCATTCGCATAATTTGCTGCTCCAGAAATCGACGAAAATCATAGGTCATTTCGCAAGAGTTGGTCGAGCAACACGGCCAATGGCAAGGTTCCCGGGATTCCTCACGTAAGCATGTTTTGTTTTTGCGAAAATACTGAGATTACGAAAGCATCCTTCTTGGTTGGGTTATTTGACATCGTAAGTCGATGCTTTCTCAYAGTCCCCRTTCCGGTTGACAGCTCTATTCTCGACTTGTGCAACATAAGGCCTTACAGCATGATCCCGTTTGAAGCCAGACTGAGTTGTTTGTGGACAATAGCTAACCTTGCTTGCAATACTGAGAACATGGCGATGCTGATTTCCACCCCAAATCTCATGGACTCACTGATCACCTTGAGCAATCGCCAGCCTTCTCCTGGCGATTCGGTTGAAACAGTGATGGAGATCATAAGGGCCAAATCTATCGCATCGAGAACAGTTCTAAATCTATCATGGTCACCGAAAAACAAAGTTTTGATGTCCAAAAACGTTGCCCTCATCCAAGCTTTGTGCAAAATAGCCCTGCAACGAGAGGCACCCTACAGAAACAGCAAGACAATGAAAGATATTCTKATTCAAGCTCGTCGACATTCGCTTGCTTCGCTCCGAAATATTAGTGCGGTACCAAACCAAAACAAAGTAGCACTTTGTAGATACAACGATGGAAAGCTGCTCGACATTTTAACTGATGTTGTGTTGAACGAGACGGATGAAAACGTCGTGGATTATTCGTTTTCTGCTATTGATAACCTGACCATCCCCGACACAGCTGAAGCTATCGTCGAACGCGCTGCCTTAGTGCTCGCTCTAAAGAACGTTTTATTGGAAGACACCGATGAATCTCGAAAAGGAAATAACCATCATTCCATAAAATGCCATTGCGCCTCGGCAACCATTCTGGTTCTTGAACGGGCAATCACACCAGACAAGCCATGTTATGAAAATTTCAGAGAGCTTTTGGATACTATCAATCCTAGCAATCCCACAGACAGTACTGACGAACCAGCGGTACCTCTGAATGCGACTGCGGTATAGATTCTTGTGGTGCGTACCCGTTGAAAGACCAGAGTTGTCATATTTCTTTTACATTATGCCTAGAGCACGAAATGGTTTGAATATTTTGTATGATAAGCATTGAAATAATTAGTATAGTAATACATTATTTTGCATTGTTGCTTTTAATGCACATTCCAATCATACTAATTTCTGGTGTTACGTTCTGATGGGAGAAGAAAAACCCACTAAGTGAGTTTCTACTCCTCACATGGTGGTGCTGAGAGGAGCGCCAAGATGAACAACAACCACCGGCATCAGTACTACTAGTACTTCTAGTAACTATCCACAATCGCATCATTCGTTTTGTTCTTCCTTGATTTCACATCTAAATKAACTATTACTGCTACTATTACTATGAGACCGGTAGTTCTGAAATTCTCAACCGTGAGGGATTCATTTGCGATGTCACGCCCGAAGCTTACTGGATTTACTGCTGTATTACTACTAGGTAGGTGTTGAATTCATGCATTACGTCATCAAATCCTTAAGTACAGAAAGTCTAAAAGTGTTCTCCACCACTGTTGACTAGATAAAACTATAAAGAATGAGGATCATGTCCACTTATACTAAAATCACTACATTCCTCATTCTGGTTCGCATTCCAAATATTACATATACACTCCAGTGGTCGCTCGCTCAATCTCGCTGATACACATGAATATCTTCATAACTGCAAAAACACTGTTCTCGCTCAAAGTCCGTAAAGTCGCCTGTTCGCCTTGTCTGGCCGTCCCCCGGGTCAATCGCATTGTTATCGACACACTCCTGTGGGCTCACTAAGCAGCGGCGCTTGCTGCTGGTGTTATTCCTTGTGCCAGCTGCTGCTCTGGCAACTGGCTCATTCGCTGCTTGGTGAGGTCATCTTCGGCCGCCTTGATAGCCCTGTCACGCTTCCGGGCTTCTATTGCGGTCTGCGCTAACTGGTTGTACTCGGGCACATTGTGTTCATGGATTCCTAGGATTGTGTTCCGGAAGCGTCGAAACTGGCTCCCTTGCAGTGGTTTGGTGAAATAGTCTGCGATCATGTCAATCGTTGGGCAATATTCAACGTTGAGCTCTCTTGCTGCGATTCGATCTGTCACAAAGAAGTAACGTATGTTCATGTGGCGGGTCCGTTTCCCGCTTGATCGTTTCCCATTCTTTTCCAGTTTCATTGCACTCTGGTTGTCCTGATAGACAATGTTGTCGGTTACAGGAAAACCTTGAGCTTGCAGGAAGTACCTTGTCCACAGTACTTGGGTTATTTCATCATCAACCCCAACCAATTCTGCCTCAGTGGAGCTCCGTGTGGTTAGTTTTTGCTTCGATGATGATGAGTTTACGGCACCCTGGCCCATCGTCATTGCCATCCCTGTGTGGCTCTTCATATCATTGTGCACAGCGAACGCAGCGTCTATATACCAACGAAGCTGTCCCGTTCCATCTATACCAAGTATCATCGGCAGGCCGATGGATCCCCGCAGGTACTTCATCACCCGTTGTAGCTTCTTCCAGTCATCTGTGTCAGGATCACTAACACGGGTGCATAGAAAAGCCACCGGGAGCTGTATGTCCGGCCTCGCCCTCTTCGCGAGGAACAGCAGCTTCGCTGTATTGGTGTGGAAGATTACTTTATCCGTTTCACTTAATTTGGTTGCCCCGTTCTCACTAACTTCAAATAGATGGTGACCGGCTGGAGTCACTGCCTCTCCAGTTCTCATACCCTCCGCCAGCTCATTTAGCATGTTGTCAATGTAATCATGCATGGTGAACTTCACTCTCCCTGCGGTGGAGAAGTCAATGGTCATTCCGAGGTAATCGTGAACCTTCCCACGTGTCACTACTAGTGGCGCCTCCTTCCCGTACACGCTGTTAATCCGGTCCAGTGTTGTGGTCACCACATCAGGATCATGGTGTGATATCTTGATATCATCCACGTGCCACAGTACTGTACATTGCTTGCCATTGATCTCCTTATTCATAACACACCAATCATATGGGTTCACGACGAACCCCCATTTTGTAAGATCAGTGCTCAACTTTAACCAAAACAACAGTGCTGCATTAAGTGTCCCGTATATTGCTTTGAGGCACTTAACGTAAAGGAACTTCTTCCCACTTGCGTCCATCTTGATATACTTTTGATACTTCCCTGGCGCTATTTCCGTCAACAGATCCAGCATCACACCTCCAAGCTTAAGGTGTGTCTCCCCGCTCTTGTCCGCTGTTTGCAGGAAGGCGCCTGGTATATCAGCAGTCGCTATATCCCGCTTCTCATAGGCGTCAATCATACACGACAACATAAGTGCCTGGATCGACACAGTTGGCGACGTGGTATCTTCCTTGTTCATCCAGTTCCTTTGCTTTCTACCATCAGCACACCCTCTCCCTTTGATCTTCCCACAGCGCTTCTCCTTTAGGAACATCAAGTATGCCAATGCTTTGGCCTTTTGCTCTGCAGTTAGCCTGTCCAGTGCAACCGGCTCCACTACTTCCCGGTCATGCAGCTGTCTCAGCTCTGTCTTAATCGCATCAATGCCCCGTTGTCCGAATATCTTGATCCCCTGTTTCATACCATACTGAGTTAGGAGGATGTTGTGAACTTGTTGATAGAAAGAACTCTCATCCTTATTGAATTCAATTAGTGCATCCAGCACCATGGCATATTGTCTCATTGCCTGTGTTTCCTTTCCCCGTACATGGTTAAGGTTATTTAGGAACCCAACTGTCTTTAGGTGGTCGTAATTGCGTTCCCTAGCTGGGCGTAGCCCAGTACGCCGCTCCAGTACTGATTCCTCCTCACTTGAGTCGTCTCGGATACTTTGGTCGGGACCAGCTACACTCCCCTCACTACTGTGGTCGTCATCGCCTTCCGGCTCGGAGTCAGCTGAGCTCGGCTCCTCAACAATGTCGGTGGGAAATTCTTCATCCGCACTACTCAGCGACCCTTCATCCACATAGTCAGAGTCGTAGGCTGAGTCTTCATCTTCACCTTCTTCTCCTCCTGCTGGTTGCATCAGTTGTGGCTGTCCATGGCCCTCAGCACCCACATCGCCGTCGGTTATCACCTCCCCCGTTCTGTTGCGAAACTCAATACCCTCCGGATAGTTCCTCGCGAGCTCGTGTACACGGTTTATCACATCGTCTGGCATTGGCAGTGCCGTATATCTGTTCCTGTTGATCACACGCCCTGTTTTCAGGCTGTAGAACCAGTGTCCCCCTTGTACATTGCCGGTTGGCCGTAGTGCAAGGGCTCCGACAGTTCGTGGGTTGTTGGTCGTGTTATCAGTGATCTCGTGGGTCTGGACATACTCCCCAAATTGCAGCTTCATGTGCTTAGAGTAGTCTATGGACAGACCAGTGACTATCTGTCTGGGGCTTAGTGTTTCCGATACTCCTGATGGCTTTGGTAGACAGTTCCACCAGAACACCTGGCTTGCAACTAGTTCTATCGTGACCCTACCCGGCAACCTCTTGTATGGCAAAGTACACTGAATTCCCCGCACTCGCTCCTTGATAGTCCGGATATATCTTTCCACTTCCGGCACGTGTTCATCCTGTGAAACAAAGTTTGGTGTGATACCAGTGTTCACAATGCTAGTTGCGAGTGGCTCGAATTGAGTGTCCATGTTCATCGTTGTGATGGTGAAGCCCCGCTTCGAGTATAGCTGCTGTAAGTCTACCACACACTCCTGTAAGGTGCTTGTCTTAGCATTCAGTATCATTGCTACGGTCCCAAACTGCACATGTCTGGATATTGTTATAAAGAACCGTATCCCGTTGACATACATGATGTCGACGCCCAGCTCAATACTTGAATACCGGTCAAGTATTGTCTGTGGTAGTGTTGTTATCATCACCCGTACATGTTTCTCTGACCGTCGTACGGTCTTCCCTTTTAGTCCTACTATCGACGGTCCCAGGATATCCTCTGCTGCTTGGATGTCCTCCCTTGTCACTGGGCAGTTGGGTACTAGGTTCTTATCGATCAACTGCAACATTTCCTTGGTAGTGATGTTGAGTACCTCCTGCATTTTCCTCGCCTTACTGGCCCGTCGTTGGTCCAAGGCCGAGTACTTTGCACTTCTTCCGCTGACGGTCTCCAGTGAATTGTTAATAAACAGTGTAGAGTGCTGTCCTAGCTGAGTATAGTACAGTCCTGTCTCTGACTCTCGGAACTCACGGTACCGAGTCTCCGTACGATTGTACATCCTGAATGTGTTGTCCAGGCCGCTGTCATAAGTGACCCTGTGGTACTTCTTAATGCGGGATAGGGACAGGATATTTGCGATACCGTCCTTGTGATACCACACTGTCCCCACTCCTGGGAAGTCACCAACTAAGTTGGTGGTCGCCACTCCTGCGTTGCAGTATATGTACATCGTATTGTTTATTTTTCGTATGTTTCGAAGCAATGTTGGGTTACATAGCACGTTGACTGTGGATTGGTTGTCGAGGAGTAGCCAGCTCGGATCTACTTTTCCTTTGGCTTGGCTGAGGATGGTGTTATAGTTAATAGTAGGGGTACGCATGCTGTTACTTCCACGTACTTCTACTCCTGCTGTGCAGTACATTAACCCGTAGGTCGGTTCTTGGAACAGGTCAACTGCCTCGGTGTAATTGATGTTACACGTGCCAGACGCGTTGCTTTCAGTACTAGTTTCCACATTGGCGTTCTGCCGTTCTTCGGCGGCCTCGCTGCTCTTATTTTGCTTGGCACTGTTCTGCTGTTCATACGCTATTACATCTGCTGGTTTGCACACGTTTTCGTATGAAAAGTGCCCCATCTTACCGCACTTGTAACACTTTATCGTGCTTCTATCGCGTCCTCGGTGTGATCGCGGGTCTCCGTTCTGCAGGAACATGATCCCATCATTCCCAGTTCTTCGGTTGATACTGCTGTTAGCTCGACTTTCTTGCCGGTAGTTTACGAGTATGTTTTGGGCCTCAGTAAGTGTTTCGGGATAGTTGTTCTGTCCCATCAGGAAGTCATTCTCTAATTTCTGTTTGATTCCCGCATATCTGGAGTGATTGGCGTTCTCCAAGTATATGGTCGCCTTTGTTAGCTCTAGGGCCTTTTTGTCGATAACGTCGCTTGTTGCTGCATCCTTGAGGATAGATCTGTCCCCTCCATAGTCCCTGTCAAGAATATACTCGTGTATTCCGGTGACGTGCAGGTCTGCTCCACATGCTGATGCTGACGTCACGAGATTTTCGAACTGTTCAAACCATTCGATGTCGGTTGTAAACTCTCCTTGGGTTGTCTTGTACAGGTTAATGTTTGCTCTAATCGCTGCTAGCGGGGGAAACTGTTGTGCTTGATAACTGTAACATATCTTCTTGATTATGTTCAGTAGGCCGATAGTATCACATCTGTTGTGAACTCCTTCATATGATGCATCCGTTGTTATTTTCTGGATCATAGCCTCAGTGCATTGCCCCCTAACAGTACTGTACATTTTCTTCATATCGTCCTCGTATCGCAGTATTTTGATTGTATGGCGTTTGGCTAACTCCTTTGTTACAGTTAGCTGTATTTCGTCCATTTCCTTGATAAGCTCTTTTGTCATCCCTGCCGTTGGGCTGCTTGCCTCCATTATGTCACGTACGCACTCCACGTTATCAATGGCGCGACGAACTTCAGCGCCGTATATTCTGCCGGCATACTCCACGAGTTCTTTCTTGGTCTTCATGTATCTGAATGCTTGTGTTGCTCCTACATCAAAGATATATCCAGTTAGTTCGTCGCATCTGCCTTTGAACGCGTGCACTGGCATTTTTCCGTGTGGTTTATTTCCTCTTCTCTTCTGCCTGGAACGGTGTCCCCCTTTCCATGCGGGCGTTCCATCTGGCCTTGGTCTTGTTAGATCATCTGCTGTAGTAGTTGCCTCAGCTGATCTAGTATTGGTATCTACCATGGTTCTATATTGTGAGCTTACGCTGTTCTTTCGCGTATCTCCCCTTCTTGCTGCTGCTCAGTTTCTTTATAGTTTTATGTTGAATTCATGCATTACGTCATCAAATCCTTAAGTACAGAAAGTCTAAAAGTGTTCTCCACCACTGTTGACTAGATAAAACTATAAAGAATGAGGATCATGTCCACTTATACTAAAATCACTACATTCCTCATTCTGGTTCGCATTCCAAATATTACATATACACTCCAGTGGTCGCTCGCTCAATCTCGCTGATACACATGAATATCTTCATAACTGCAAAAACACTGTTCTCGCTCAAAGTCCGTAAAGTCGCCTGTTCGCCTTGTCTGGCCGTCCCCCGGGTCAATCGCATTGTTATCGACAGTAGGTACGTACAAAACTTATAAATTTCAGCTCGAGGGAACAGGAACAATCAACGTGTTCACATTTCACAAGAGCGATGAAGAATTTTATTAGCACGATACCGTGACAAAAACACAAAACGGGCGACAACATCAAGATGATGCAGCAGCATCACGCTGTAGCCGGAAGTTGTAGGTCTAACGTCCATAGCACTACCAGCCCAGGCCCAGCACGTCCCAGAACAAAACATCAACGACAGCAAAGTCGGCAAACGCAAAAGACTTTGTCATTGGTTCTCTTTACGTCGTTTGCCTCTATTTTCCTCGTGATAAATCTGAAAACTTCTTTTCAATTGCCAGYCGACGAKGATGCCCACGACATGCATATTTGGATGGGTACTTTTTCCGAAAAAGGGGAACAGAAGCCTACCAGTACAACTCATACTCACAACGACGCCGATCAGTTCATAGCAATCGACGGGAACAACAAAACAATTTTCAATTCGAGTTTGCACGAACCACCATCGTCAACAACGTCAACAATCGCAAGCACAAATAAACGACACCGCCAGGTGCAGCCACTCAATCTGATCCCCAACCARGAGTTGGTAGTGAACGATTATTTCTCTGCTTCATGGTTGCTTCCAAAAGAGCGATTCTACGAGCTCGACTGGCAGAACATTCTGACRTGTGAGGGCGCTAGCTTCCTTGCAATCCGCGWAAAGGGAGACGACAAACCCTCCGAACACGCCAAAATGTTAGTAGATTGGACGGAATTTAATGTGGAACACATGTCGAAATGGTGGGGCATGCTCGGCCTTTTGTACAACAACAATAACCTCGGTAAAGACGATAGCCAGAAACGCACGAAATGGCGATGGTTAAACAGACTCATACAAAAAAATCGCAGCAAAAACAATGGTGAATCAACAAAACGCATCTTTTCTCACGTTATTTCGATGATGGACGACTTTACCCGTCGCAGCCTTTTGCAACCACACTATCGTTCAACAGAGTTGGAAAGAGCAATCGCTATGATTGCTTTCATGCCAGTAAATGAAAGACGTCTGTCTACACTTTCTGCCGAAGAATCCGCTCTCTACAGGCCCAGAAGTAAAATCATAACGCACCATTCCTTGGCGGCTACCATTGCATCAATATTTGCGGCTGGATTTGGAAGGGTGGTAGTAGTTGGTTTGGGTGAAAGCGATCACCACTACACCCAGGGGGCGGTGCAAGTTTTAAATTCTATACTTCTAAGCAATGAAACCAATGGTCGCAGTCAAACAGTTGTCCTCGTAGACGAACATGGGAGCAACAATAACTCGATTGCGACTATTGGTCRTCCTTCCTCGTCACTTCCTGGCCACGAGTATACAAAAGGCGATCTTGACAGGCCCATGGAAATCGCCCATGTCAGAGTCACGAATCCAAACATGTATGTTTCCCGTTATGTTCAACAAAATCTACCCCGAGCGGCGGTGGCTGGTATGCACGTGGCAATGTTTGGAGAGACGAATACCACCTCCAATGACAATGAACGAATTCAATGGCTCGGCAGTGGTGCTCGTTACCACAACAATGGCAACGGCAAGGAACCCTCGTATTGGAACTATATTTATCTGACAGAACCAGACACCATTTTGAATCTAAACCTTGACTTATTGCCTTCRATTCGACATACTTTGGACAAGGGAATATCACTATTTCCGCATCGGATCCATCCCATACCCCATGAAAATAATCTCCCTCCCAATAACGAACTCAATCCAGGATTATATTTACCGAATGCTCCACCTTTTGAAGTTACTGAATTGGACCCACTGGGGAGTAGTGCAAATGGCGACCACATTGCATGCTGTGATGCAGGCGGATGGYGGCCAGGAATAAAATGTTCTAGTCGGGATTACTTGAAACAAAATTGCTCGAAGGAAGAAATAAAGAATGCAGCGCCAAACAATCGCTGTGGGCAATGGTGGGAGTGCGGATTGAAAGTCATCAAGAACAGCAAGGAGTACAGTGTAAATGATATTATCAACGGCCACCATGCTCTTCTAGAATACAAATGGATGCGTCTAAAACATGGCATTGGAGTGATCTTTGGTTCATCTAACAACGGCAGAACTTGCATTCCATCAAAGACAGCATGCGATGCAAAAAATGACGGCATGAAGAGCTCGTAGCATTGATGTACCAAGCACCGCTTTTGAATAGTACAAAAGAACAATATGAAAGCAAGCCATACATACAAAATAGTATAGCCTCAAAAATTACTTTATCTTGGCTATTATGTGGCATATGATCAAAATTATGATGACAGTTGGAAGAACTCTTTCAGCACCACCTTGAAAAATTAAAATGACATTCCTATTTACTAGTACTAGTACTAGTACTACTAAAGGCTCTGTTTGAAGATTTCATTGTACAATTCTAAAAGGATAGCACATAAAAATACTATTGGATGAGATAAGTATGTGAGCCAGTAATACACGTACAACCTAAATCACGAGTAAATAGTGAGTGAGCAATAGGCTCGACCTCACTCTTTAATGTAAACATCCCTTTATGTGACACTAAGGAGCATAAGTACATTCGCAGGTTATGAGCAACAAATAGACTTACCTCAGCTCATCAACCATCATCAGCAACACAACAAAGTCGCAAAGTATGATGAAAAAAAAAACATTCAAATCGCCTAAATATTGAGCTCATTTCAAAATGGAGTTGCTTATGGGACTCTCATTTTGGGACGGAAGAAGTACTCTATTATTATGACTTTCTGTGCTGGCTTRGTTCGTACTCCTACTCGTACGTGCTCAACGGGAACGTAACGCTGCTGTACCATACTGTAATATTGGTACTGTTTTACCTCTACGGTACGTTCGTACAGTATTGTTTTCCTAAATTTGGTCGAACCCCCTTGAAAAAGGGAAAAATTTAAAATTTGACACAACTACTGAGCGTTTGCACGTCAACGAAGGCAACTTAGATAAGATAAATTTTCTATTTTTAGTCTCGTTCTTCGGCGGCATTCCGAAGTGAAGTATTTTTTTCGAGTTAAACGATCTGGCCGAATACGCTAATAGGTKTATGATTGTATTGTACGATATATACCGGTACGCTAAGAAAATTTTGTTGATTTTTAGCTTTTTTGGTCGCCAAATTCGGTCGACAACACCAACAAACGGAAAAGGTTCAGCAACAAAGTGAACCTCTGGATATCCTTCGAATGAATTAGCCATAGCAACGAAGTCAATTTTGTATTGCTAATGCATAATGTGTTGTAGACCATAACACAAAGAGGTTCACGGTACAGTACATCAACGACAACTGATTATCCTTCGAGGTATAAATCGCATTCCATAGGAATCGTTAGCTCCAGGAACCACAGTCTCCTCCGAGTTTACTTCATGGAAAAAGGCATCACTGGAGATATGATTTAYCTAGAATATGACAAGAAAGTAGAGAACACGACGGTTGGAATGCCCGAGTTGAAATATACGGATGATGACTCAAACTCCGATGAGTCTTCTGAAGATGAAAGGGAACCACTAAGCGACGACGTCTATGCATTCTTGTTCGTCGCCCCGGTATTTAGCAAGCCTTTTGTTTTTGCTGCTTACACCATCATGGTTAAGTACGTYGTTTTCGGAATTTTGGCCTCTGGGATCCGGCTCTCTGATGCGGGAAATATTGATGTCGATAACGTCATGCTGCAGGCTGTCAAGTTCTTTTTGATTCCGGTTGCTATTGCAATGCAAGAAGATCTCATCAATGTTTACGCAGGCGTAGCGAATTTGATGTATGATGAAGAAGTATTGAATGTCAGCGAAAATGCCACGGAAAAGAAACTCATTTTTAGCTACGTYGCGCGTTTCTTCGATGGCATCCTTTCACTTGGAGTAAACTTCGCTGTTATGCTTGTTACCAACGAAATTCTGGGGGTTTTCCTTAACTTCGCAGCGTTGCATTTTTTGCAAAGCATTGATGATGTGTTCTTTGCTCTTGTTGTAAAGGGTTTCTTTGGCGACGAGATGGAACACATGAGCCACATTTGTGAAAGTATTTCATTCCCGCTACGAAAGTCAGATTCAGGATGCGTGAAAGTGTTGGATTCCCTCCTATTCTTTGTTACACTTTCAGTTTGTGTTGCTGTTTACGCTGCCGTTTTCGTTTACTTGAATTCATTTGATYAATGAAGATATATGTGATGGACATTATACAAAAAGCASGTGCATGTTGCACAGATTTTCATCTCTGATGATTGCCGACTGGTTTGGGCAAGGCAGGTTCAATCAAAACGTGACCAGAAGTGTTATTTTAGTTCAAAATTTCTGTTAAAGGTACAACAAGAAGTACCTGTGATCCTTTWAWTAATGATTTTTTATATCCTCYRAAATGCTCTGTGGTAAACATGTAACGTTGAGGCAGCCGAAGAGCAGCAATCTGTATTCCAAACCTCTGGCCGGTCACGTGTCCACCACGTCTCCGTCCCAGAGGGAGGTACCGCCCCTTGCAGTAACTAGGAGCATTCTTCTCCTTGGAGGTAGCAGTTCTGGCCCACACAGTTCCTCTTCTAGTTWATGAGGTAAATATAATTTTAAGACATAATAGTGGTATTGTSATGGGCAGTATTATGATTTTCAGTATTTCCATACAATACYAGTTTGTTTCTGATTATTTGGTGGTATTACAAAGGTTGTATTTGCAACAGTGTTTGCTTGGTAATTATTTGACTCAACTTGCACCTTGAGTGACATGAGTCTCATTGGATSAAATACCTCTTGTTCTTGTTGTTGTRCATGTTTTTCAGCATGATGCTTTGTGGTCTGGTGGTTGTTACACAGTATGCAAAGGTCCTCCTTGTTGAACTAGTGTTGTTGGTATCAAATGAACTCTGATTCTGTACTACT